GAGACATAAACGCAGGTTATACACATGGATTTCACCTGATGGTATGCATAGGAATCAGATCGATTACATCTGTGGAAGTAACCGCTGGAGAAGCTCAATATCAGCTGTGAAAACTAGGCCAGGAGCTGATTGTGGAACAGACCACCAACTACTCATATGCAATTTCAAGCTGAAGCTGAGGAAAATTAAACTGAATCCACGGGAACCAAAATATAACTTTGAGTCTATCTCACCTGAATTTCAGAACCATCCCAAGAACAGGTTTGAGGCCTTGAACACGAATGAGTGAAGACCAGATAAGTTGTGGGAGGATATCAAAGGTTTCATCCACGAAGAGTGTAAACGTTCTTTACAAAGACAGAAGAGGAAGAAAAGATCAAAATGGATGTCAGAAAAAACTCTGAACTGTGGTACTGAAGAATAATATTGAACAACCCATGAAGTGCCAAAACAACAAATATGTCATGGAGAAAGTGCAAGCAAAGCACTCCTTGCAGACAAAGACGATAAAGCTTCATCTCACATACTTTGATATGTTGCTAAGGAGAGGCTGTTTCTTGGAGAGGGACATCATGATTAGAAAGGTAGTGGGTTGCCAAAAGAGAGAATTTCAAACAAGTAGATTGATGCAGTGACTGTCACAATAGGCTCTAGTGTGTCAGGAAGTGCGAGGATGGCACAGGATAGGACAGGGTTCAGACCCGTTTTTCATAAAGTCACCAAAACAACTGAACTCACCTCCATGAAGATTGGACAAGCCCATGTTCCTGATTCTGTATTAGATGCAAACTGTTTAACCTCTTTTGTCCTCTAGCCCGTGTAAACATGACTTATTGTGAGGATAAAGTAAATTCAGATCTTTAGAGCACTTTTGCAATAGTGTTATCCAGCCTCACAGCTATTAACATTCACTCACACATGTAAGTGAACAAAACTCTCATTAAGACATTCTGGAGACCCGGTTTCTGGACTCTGTATATACAGGCTCTGTCCAGTGGTTGGGATGGCTCAGGGAAATCAAAGAGAACTTGCCCGCCAGAAAACATCAGAAAAAGCCAGGAGACTAGCAAGGGAAAATGAAAAGAGGACAGTTTGACGGCCTATCAGAGAAAGCAGAGGGATTCTGAGATCATATAACAAAAGCAGAAGGTTGCTGATGAGGTGGCATGTTTGTCTTATAGATATAAAACTTATATAAAAAGAGGGGGGAATGATAGGGTGGTATTAATAAGTTCAGAATTCTCTATATAGGTATCAATTATAAAACTATCGTTTTCTCCAGCCTGCTGGACTGTTTGTTTGACCTTGGAGTTCTTAGTGTCCTTTCTTTGATCTATTTATCAGAAGAGCTCCTAGACTAGCTGTTATCCCTTTGAAGCCGGGTTTTCCTAATCGTATGTAAATTGTAACAATCTGCCTGTTTGCCTGGAAAGTGAGTATCTGGGTGTGAATGATTTTCTTTCAGATATAGAAATTCTTTAATTTTACCAACAAAAGTTTATTGTTAAGTAAATTGATGTCTCACCCTCCTATAAAAGCCCATGACCACTCCCAGACAGGGAGGCAATCTGGGAGGTGGTGACTCACTGTCTCCCAGATGTGTAATAAACTGCATTTATGGATATTGCAATCTGTTTGTCTTATTGGCAATTGACTATGGAAAGAACCCCTTGCATTCAGTAACACTGCTAAAGAGAAGTGTTTGCAGACCGGAGAAAATGATGACCAGCTAATTTAGAAAACCTGGATGATACTGCCAACTAGATGTATCATACACACTGAGATCAAGATTTTGTAGAGTGAACAATCATTTATTCTTATAAAACAGTCTATTTTAAACTTTATCTTTTGACCTGATTTAGTGGTTTAGAACTCCTCTTTGAAAAATAAAACCACCACCATACACGTAAAAAAAAAAAAAGACATTTTCTGGGCAAACACAAATATTCCTCTTTCAATTCCCTACCTCCTTAGAATTTGGGTGAGACCTTGACATCAGAATTTTGGCAGAATTTGGCCCTAAAATCTGTTTCTTGTATTTTCAAATATAGTAAACCTATATTTGAACTCATTTTCCCAGCATAGGGATGTTCAGAGATCAGAGTTTTTCCTATGTTTCAGCATCCTGCTCTCAGCCACATACCTGGAGTCTCTAAGTATCTTTAAAGGCACTACCAGCCCAGTAGCTGTTCCTTTTCTTCTTTCAGAATCCCTTTCCCAAAAGAGATCAACAATCAGCTCACAGCAGAACTTATGGTAATACTTTAGATCAAGGCTTTTATCTACTAACTACAGGGTAAAACCCAGGAAACCCTCCTCCCTTGGGATTGTTTTCTGCCCCTGAAAAATGGAGGACAGGGCTGAGCAGAAGAGACTGTGAAGAAGCTGAGCAGAAGAGACTTGGTGGTGAATGGATCTTAATGATTCATCCTATCAGTTCAAACTGGCACAGGTCAATGGGTGTTATCTCAGTCATGGTATTGAATCAATCCTCTGAGCTTTCCTTGTCCTGTCCCTGTGGATTATAATCTAGATTAATATCAGAATTACCTTATGACAAATTTTGTCTGTTGTGTTATTTTATTATTTTTTTTAAACAGGAACTTAAAATCAGAATTTCTTTTCTTCACTAGAACCAGAATTCTCATCATGATGCTGTTGTTAGGTTCCATGTGTTAGTCTTCACACTGCACGTAAAGCCAAGGGCTCACGGAAGGGACCAGATAAAGAAAGGAAGCTAAAGAAGCTTTGTTAAGGGACTCCTGAGCGGGATTCCTTGGTCTGCAGAGAGAGAAACAGGCAGAGGAACAGATCAGGGAAATACTGCTCCCTAAAGTGGATTTTTGTTGTTATTGTTGTTATGTGCCGGCGAGTCGCTTGCGACTCATAGCAACCCTATGTACAACAGCCCTAAACTCTGCTCTGTCCTGTTCCAATCACACTGTCACTGACACTCCCATCCCGATTACCCCAGTCACTGAATCAATCCACTACATAGAGGGTCTTCCCCTCCTGCGCTGTCCCTCTACTCTACCCAACATGATGTCCCTCTCTAAAGACCTGTCTCTCCTTACATGTCTATAGTATGTCAGGCAAAGCCCCAGAATCCTTGCCTCCAAGGAGCAGCCTGGTTTAACCCTCTCTGGGATGAATCTGTTTGTTTTCTTGGCAGTCCATGGTACATTCAATACTCTTCTCCAGCACCACAGCTCAAAGGCGTCAATTCTCCTTCTATTCTCCCTAGTCATTGTTCAACTCTCTGGTGCATAACAACTGATTGCAAAAACCATGCCCTGTATCAGGCGCACCTTAGTCTCCAGAGAGACACCTTTGCTCTTGAGTACTTTAGAGAGGTCCCTAACCACAGACTTTCCCATCGCAATATGTTTTTTTTATTTCCTGACTGCTGGTGCCAAGAGTGTTGACTGTGGAGCCGAGCAAACTGAAGCTGTGAACACTCTCAATCTCTTCGCCATCCATCCTGATGCTACCGATTGGTCCGGTGGTGAGAATTTTTGTCTTCTTGGCATTGAGCCTCAGTCCATACTGAAGGCTGCAGTCCTTGACCCTCTGCAGTAAGTGCATGAGGTCCTCCTCAGTTTCAGCGAGCAGGGTTGTGTCATCTGCATAATGCAGATTGTTGATAGATCGTCCACCAATCCTAACGCCACGCTTCTCCTCATAGAGCCCAGCCTCTCGGATAATCTGCTCTTCATACAGGTTGAAAAGGTATGGAGATAGGACACATCCCTGGCATACACCCTTCCCAATTTTGAACCATGCAGTGTTGCCCTGCTCTGTTCTGATGACTGCCTCTTGTTCCAAGTATAGGTTTCGCATTAGCACTATTAAATGTTCTGGGATTCCCATTTTTCTCAGAGTCAGCCACAGTTTGTTATGATCCATGCAGTCAAATGCCTTTTCATAATCAATGAAACACAGATAGACATTCTTCTAGATTTCTCTGCTTTCAGCTAAGATTCATCTAACATCAGCTATAGTATCCCTAGTACCACGACCCCTTCTAAACCCAGCCTGGACTTCTGGCAGTTCTTTGCTGATTTTTTTGGATAATCTTCAGTAGAATCTTGTTTGCATGTGAAATCAATGATGTTGTTCTGTAGTTTCCACACTCAGTTGGGTCGCCCTTCTTTGGGATGGGAACAAATATAGACCTCTTCCAGTCTACAGTTTAATGTACTTAGTATTTTTATTAAGTAAATAGAGAAGAAATGTAGAAGTATGTCCAAAATCCATTCATTGGAGAATAAAATTAATTGTATATATTAATCTCATTTTCATTATCATTTCTGTTAACTCAAATATATGTGCAATCTAAAATCAACTGCTGCTATTACATTATGGTGGAAACTTTCCTCATATCATTCAAGTGAATCAAATACAAATGCTGGGCATTAATTACTGTGGCAAAAATAAGCTATTGAACATAGAAACTCTGGATGACCCAGCTATTCCATTACTGGAAATGAATTGCAAGGAAATCAGAATTGAGACACAAATGGAGATTAGCAAACCATTGTTTATACTCAGAAGCAACAATTTCAAAAAATACTTCATAATTTGGAAGAGACTGGAGAGTATTACACAATGCATTCAAACTGTATAATCAAACTAATATAAAACAAAAAAATTTAAAGAAAGCTAATTACCCTTGTGAAGAGTTTATCATTCATCATCTGTGCAGATTGTTAGAGATTTGGGATCCCTTCAAACATAAAAAAAGGCTTGAGTATTCCAGAAAATCCAGGAAAAAATGAATGTATATGTGAGTTTGTATGTAAATTGTAAAAGGAAACTTCACCTAGTTCATAGTCGAGATAAATGCCTATACCTCGAGGTTTTGTTGTTAACTCAAGGTGGACTGAAACAAAGCTTTGTGCAACATAAATATCATTGGAGAGCTGAATCATCCAGTATCCATTCTGTCCTGTTAAGTTTGGGTTATCCTTTCTGAATAGAGGTTCTTCACAAACCCCCACCATCCATTCAGGCTTGTCATTCACTCTCACTTCCCAGTAATGCCTGCCTGAATCGAAGCCTTCAGATCCCAGGACCAGTGGGAAAGTGCTAAATCTCTTCAGAGTAGGAAGAAGTATTTCCTTTTCCATCACAAATGTCACCGACTTTTTAACTTCAGGTATTAGAAGGCTGGGATGTGCTGTTTCAGGATCCAGAGTCACATCTCTTTTAAAAGCCTTAATTTTCTTCAGAGGCTTGAACAATGGGGGAAGATTGGCTTCTCTCTCACTTAACTGGATGGAAGAGGAAGATGGAGGGGTGAGGTTATCACACACATTATAGATGTTCTTGATACGCGTCAGCAATTTTATATTGTCCATTATAACACTCCTCTCTGCCACTTCCTGTTTTAGACATGTGCGTATAGAAATACAGTTTGAACATGTTTCTTTATGTATTTTTTGTTTAACACGCTCTACATAAGCTGCCCTAGAGACACAGATGTTGTGCTGCCATTCTAAAAAGTGATTCATGTGTTTGCATTCATAATTTAATTTATGCCACACCTTTGCAATGCTCTGATTCACTTGTTTTACTTTTTTCTCTTGAATGGCTCGGGAGTTCGTATAGTCATCCAATTGATTCCTCAGAGTAGTCACATAATCCATGATCTGTTTTCTGTGATGAGAGGCAATCTGCTTTAGGGGCTTCACATTGCAACTCCAGTGGACCCTGGTGCAGAGGTCACACAGCACCTTGTGGTCATCCTCACAGAAAAAGTTGAGGACCTGCTTGTGTTTCTTGCACTGAGGTGTCTTTTTCTTCTTCATTTCCATGCTGAAGAGGTATAATTTGGCTCCATACAATATATTTCTCAGCTGATTGTTCTGCTTTAATATTTTGTGTTGACATAGTTGTTGACACAGTGGGCAAGAGACCCTGTTACATTTCTCCTCCCATGACTTCTGCATGCAGGATCGGCAGAAATTGTGTCCACACTTAGTGGTGACGGGATCTTTCAGAAGATCCAGACAGATTGGACATTTGGCCTCTGCCACCACTCCTGCCATTGTTGTCAGGATTTAGAGGACTTTTCTTTGGGCCAGTTGCACTTGCAAGTATATATTCCTCTTATGTGCTGTGATGTCACTGATTATATCCTGCAGAATGAAGAAGAGTGACTCCCTTCACAACAAGCTATGGATCCAGCTTTTGGCAGCTCTCAGGATGTGATTCTCGGTTAAGCCAATTTCTTGGTCAGAAACCAGTTTGGACCTCCAGGTGAGGAATCATTCCTATAAATGAGAAGAATGACCTTATTAATCCAGAAAGTTCAGGACACAGGAAATGATTGTTCTTTGTCTCCAACTCATTTGGCAAAGTCATAAAAGGTAGAAACAGTGAAGTCAGTAAAATCGACAATAGTCTATGTCTGCATAATCAGGTCCCTCAGTTCAAGCATACGTTGTATGTACATAGGCACTTGAGTATCAAGTAAAAAGGTACTTCAAGTACTTTGTATTTGAAGGTACTCAAGTGCCTTCAAGGTGAAATCAACTCTAATTTGATCCTTCAGTGGGTTTTCAGAGGCAGTAAATCACACAGGAGAATATCGTTCATATTTTTTCACTGGAATAACTAGTAGATTTGTATTTCCTACCTTTGGATTGGCAGCACATTTCCTTACCACTTAGCCACCAGCAGCATTCGCTCATATGTTGTAAACAAATCACCATACTCAGTATATATTTATGATTTCCAAAACTAT